TTAATACAGGTTAATGTATTTAACAGTTAACATTTAACAGTTTTTATCACAGCTTTTATCAAAAACAAATACGGGGATCAAAAACTAGATTCTTGCAGCAAATGCAAAGCTTTATGTATATATCATTAATTAAAGCACAACAATAATTTTCAGCCCATGGGTTGTATGAAAAACTAAAACTTAATCCACGTTACTAGTTTAATCAGACTACCAACTTGCTTTAAATCAATTACCAAATATTTGTGTATAGATCTTACCTTTATGAACAAAAAGATGGGTTTTATACGTTCTAATACTATTTATACGGGTATCAATTAACCATCACTAGTTTATTTTTACAACTCTTAAGTTACTTAGGTTTGCCTACAAAAAACTTTAAAAAGATTAACTTTTTTTTTAAATATGGTTTTTTAAAAATTTTTAAAAATTTAAAAGTTATATCTTTAAAAGTGATTTATCTTTTTTTTAAATACGTTTTTAATATACCAATGGGAGAAAATATGTAAACTTTTAAAAAATGAAATAGACATAAGCTATTTTTTCTAAAAAAAAAATTTTTTTACATTGATATATTATATAAACTAGATGTCTAAATTCGATCCAAAAAGTGAAGGCGCTTTTGCTCTTTTAACAAATGGTGGATTAAATTTATAAACAATTGTTTAACTTTTCTTAAATGAAGTAAACATATTTTAAATATAAATAGTATTAATGTAAAAGTGTTAAGTGGAAGTTAGAATACTTGTAAAATAATAATTTATGATTTATTTTAAATTTTTGATTAAAGTTTTAAATAGAAAATTGAAATGACAGACGCTTTTAAAGCATTTTTATGAATTATAATACTTTTTAATAAACATAGGCTCATAATAAGTATTTTAAAATTATTAAAATGTGTTTTTGAATTATCTTTATTTTATTGGGAACCTTGATGCTCTTAACTTGTCTTTTTCACTTTTATTCCACACGTCGGCTTCAGCTTTTGCCCTTTTTACAAATGGCGGACTATATTTATAAACAAAAAAAAGAGGCTTTATTTTTCCTCCAATAAAATCCTGCAAATTAAACATCTAGTTTATATAAAACTCTATATAATATTGTTATATAAAATTATAATATTACATAGTATATGATTGCTTTTTTTATAAAAACTACTTTGACGGAGTAATTGTAAACATAAGCTTTAAGCTTTTTAAATTGCATTTCGTCGTTTTCTTCTTAAGTAAAAAAAAAAGTTTTTTTTTCTTTGCACATTATTGTCTTATCTACGTTTTCCAAAATACCAGTATGCGTTTTTTTCCGTTTAGATTTTATTGCCAGCAAGATCAAAAATTTTTCTTTTTTCTTACCACGAATTGATATTTTAGGACATCATACTTTCAAGTTACCTCTTTGTTAGGCATCCATTTTAAAGATTTGTTTGTAAGTCTTTGTTTAGCAAGCAGCATGTTTTTTAGCGCTAAAAAGCAATACTTTTCTAAAATTTGAATTATAAGAATTGGAACTTTATACCAAAATGGAATTTTGGTATCAAAATTTAAAAAATTTCAAAAAATATATTCGGAAAATTAGAATTTAAATGAGTGGAATTTTATTGAAATGTTTGTTCAAAAAAAAAAAAAAAATAGTTGAAAGGTTTAAAATAACGGGAGATGTTATATTGAATAATGGGAGCCTGGGGACCAAAAGTATCGTTTTAGATATTAAATGGTTTTTGACCCTACGAGTGTATAATTCTTTAGTGAACACAAAAGAATAGTGTTTTATTTAAATATAATAAAAGTTCATAAAAAATCAATACTATATAAGCGAAAAATCATAACAATCCTATTTAATGAGAACAGATTGAAGCTAACCCATCTGAATAAATATAGAATTAATTATGAAAATATTAAAGGAAATAAAAAATTTAAAAATATTCATAATAAGGTTAATGCTAATACTACACAAAAAAATAACTTTTTTTCATTTTTTTTTTTTACAACATAAATGGTAAGTCGAGATTCTTCTCTCCATAGCCACAATAACAACAACCGAATATTTGTGTTTCTGGTACATGGTACGCAGTAAAGCCTAACCAATGCAAACTTCTCAAAACAATAACAGCGCCACCGCGTTCTTGTTGAAGACTCCAAGAACCTAAATTAGTAGTAAATTGTAAACAAACCTAATTTAATAAGTCCCATATCCGTTCATATATGGAAAAGGTACAGAATAGTATAGATTAAAGTATAGAATGTGTAGAATAAAAATACAGACTAACAGAAAACCACACAAAAAAAAAGTTTTTACTGAAAATTTATAAGCAAATCTTTAAATTAAAAATCCTATGACTTTCTGAGTTAGTCTTATAAAAAAAAGTCACGTGAACAACCTTAACGTTTTACAAAATTTTTCAGTTTGAAAGCGCGCAATTTTGTAAGAATAATTAGTTGTTGATAGAGTTACGTTAGCATCGCGTAAGTGTACGAGTGGCTGCTCATCGGGCTACCGTTAACATCGTTGGTTTCACTATGTAGAAATTAAGCCAGGTCACTTATAGTGAGTTTTCACTCATCCGTTTTTCTACAGAAGGGGATAGGAAAGGTAAAAAAAATCACGTAAGCATGCGTAGTTTTTCTTCGGACAAATCAAAACTTGCTTACGTAATTATTTTTCTCTTCCATGTCCCGTATTTAGTTACTCGCGTTATGTTTGCATAAACTACGGTACTGTTAGCATCGCATTGACGTATGCGTCAGGATTAGTTATTTTTCACTAGTATAGCGTTGCAAAACCACTCTTGGTGTGAATAAGCTAGGAGTTGCAATTCCATAATCCTTACCAAATTTTTCGTTTACTAAAAAAAAATTATCTCTAAAAATAATCATGAGATTAAGGTTCAAACCAACTGAACAATAAAAAATAAGGTTTCATTAATTTCATTAATTTCATTGAAATTAATTTCATTAATTTCAATGAAATTAATTTCATTAATTTCAATGAAATTAATTTCATTAATTTCAATGAAATTAATTTCATTAGTTTCAATGAAATTAATTTCATTAATTTCAATGAAATTAATTTCATTAGTTTCAATGAAATTAATTTCATTAATTTCAATGAAATTAATTTCATTAGTTTCAATGAAATTAATTTCATTAATTTCAATGAAATTAATTTCATTAGTTTCAATGAAATTAATTTCATTAATTTCAATGAAATTAATTTCATTAGTTTCAATGAAATTAATTTCATTAATTTCAATGAAATTAATTTCATTAATTTCAATGAAATTAATTTCATTAATTTCAATGAAATTAATTTCATTAATTTCAATGAAATTAATTTCATTAGTTTCAATGAAATTAATTTCATTAATTTCAATGAAATTAATTTCATTAGTTTCAATGAAATTAATTTCATTAATTTCAATGAAATTAATTTCATTAGTTTCAATGAAATTAATTTCATTAATTTCAATGAAATTAATTTCATTAATTTCAATGAAATTAATTTCATTAATTTCAATGAAATTAATTTCATTAGTTTCAATGAAATTAATTTCATTAGTTTCAATGAAATTAATTTCATTAATTTCAATGAAATTAATTTCATTAATTTCAATGAAATTAATTTCATTAATTTCAATGAAATTAATTTCATTAGTTTCAATGAAATTAATTTCATTAATTTCAATGAAATTAATTTCATTAGTTTCAATGAAATTAATTTCATTAATTTCAATGAAATTAATTTCATTAATTTTATAATTTAGTTAAATTAATTTCAGGTCAGCTCAAGTTATCCAGCTAGTGGTAACATGTAACCCAGTACAACCAGCTTCATGTCCTGCACCTTGTAGAATACGCTTTTTTAGGCAAAGGCTAGGAAAAGCTAACTGAGACTAAAGACACCCCATGCCTTGGTGTCTTTGATTAAAGGCTAGAGATGTTGTCTTGATAAAAATACTCATCGTGGACAGACATTAAATACATCCGGCTACCGTCTTGTAGAAGGCTTCTTTGTCAAAGACTTAAGGGGTAAACAGATTCTATCTGTTGACCAGTCCCGCACCTCTTCTTCATATATTAGGCTGGTGCAGATGTATTTATATTACATTTTTTCCAGTTTAGGATGTTGAATGCTGGATCTTCTAGACTCAAAGCATGGGTTTTGCTTGTGTCTCTGCTTTTATGACTAGAAAACTCATTTTATTATCTCCTGATGAGGATAAAGCTCTAAAACTCAGTTTTATGGTTCTGAGGCCGGCTGGTAGTCAGGTTTCCCGAACTTTGTGCTAGCTCTTAGAGAGGCTGATTCCATCAACAGCTTAAAAAAACAGTGTACTAACAGTGCCAAGTTGCACATGGATGGTGTCCCTGTTCATACTTTTGGTATGAAATGTTAAAGGACACATTTGGAGCCCTTTGTTATGGCTTAGGGTTTATTAATAGTAATGAGGCGATTGCTGAGACTATTAAATAGTGTACTGAGTACTCTCTATGCTTTGAATCAAATTCTTTAAAAAATTAAAAATGACTAAAGTACCAAAAACTATAAAACACAAAAAACCATCTTCATCACTGATTTCTCTCAACCTATCATTCACTAATATACATGGTCTTCGAAGTAACTTTTCTTCTGTTGAGTCTTATCTCTTGCAAAGTTCACCAAACCTAGCTTAAACTAAATTTGCTCTTTGTGATACTAATTTGAGTTCAGCTGTCTCATCTTGTGATCTTAGTGTTGATGGTTATCTTCCTTTAATTCGTAAAGACTCCAATAGTTAAATGCTTGGCCTGGGCATTTACATTCGTAATAACTCACTCATTTGTCAGGAAACTAGGTTTGAATCCACAGACTATTCTTTTATGTGCTTTCAATTAGCACCACTTCACTCTATCACCTTTCTCTTTTTTCTATATCGCTCTCCTTCATCTGCACTCTTTTCAATGTTATTTCTGATCAAATTGACCAAGCCCTGTCTCTTTATCCATCAGCCAATATCGTTATTGTTGGTGACTTTAATGCTCATTACACTGAATGGCTTGGGTCTAGTGTCAGTAACTCTGCAGGCGTTAAGGCCTACAACTTTTGCCTTACTCAATCTATAACTCAAATAGTCAACTTTCTAACTCGTTTTCCAGACAACCCAAATCATTTACTTTCTCTACTCGACTTATGTATTGTTTATTATTACCTTCTCTACTCAACTTATGTCTGGTCTAAAGAGCTAGCATCTCATGTGCCATCTACTAAAATTCATTTTCGTGTTACTCGTCATTCAATTAAGTCTCACCCTTTTTCTGTGACTGTTCCTAAGTGTTCCATAAACATTTATTCCTCTAGTTTTTTTCCTCAAACATGAGTTCTTTGGAATTCGCTTCCTTCATTTTGCATTCCTGATTCATATAATTTGCAATTGCCTCTGTCAATAGTTATCTTGCTCTACAATCTTCATCTTTTCTCTTCCAGTAATTTACAACTCTAATAGTGGTTGCTTGCAGCCTTGTTGGAAGCGAAAATGTTAAAAAAAAAATAAAAAAATAAAAAATTAGTTACTTGGAATGTTTTGATTGATGTAGTTTTATTTGATTGATGTAATTTTATTAACACTTACAATAGTATAAAAGTTGGTACTAATAATGCTAAAAATAACTAATAGCAAAATTTAATAGTATTTTTAATACAGTACCACAACGCTATATGAAGTGCAGCAATATTTAAAAAATAATGCATTTATCACTCAAAATCTTGAATTTTACCAAAGTTTGCAAAAAACTAATGCATCAAAAATAAATATCATAACATAATAAATAAAATAAATTATAATTATTACATTAATAATTGTAACTAATATATTTTTATTTTTTTACTGAGAAAAATCTTTAGTATTTAAAAATGAATAAGTAACAATTAACCACTATTACTTTTGTTTTTGTTTTTGTTTTTTTAGTTATTCACCTCCTCAAGGACGAGAAGGCCACTACAGACAAGGAAGCTACTTAATAGTGATTATAACCCTCTCTCAACTCTATAACTCCAAAACACGAACCTTGGCAAACAAGGCCGCTGCACGGAGAAAAACTTAATATATACAAACCAATAAAATAAATGATAAAATCATAGTTTTTATTATACTTTTATTTATACAAACCAAAAAAACAAAAATTTCAACTTAAGACTTAAATGAAAAAATTCTATTAAAAAAACTTTGCCATATTTTTAATCAGGAAATAGTTGAATTATATATTGTAATGTAAATTTATATATATTGAAATTAGTTAGTTAAATCTCCTTTATTCAAAACCTGCATCCATTTTCCCATTAATTTGCAAATAGTTCATAATGATATAATGGAATCTAATAAAGCTACCTATAGGCTATCATTTACCATGTTTACATCATTAAATTTACAAGAAAATTTAACTATCTAATAACACGCTAAAATATTATGGTTTGCATATGTAACTTTAGCATTTTTTAAGCACTGAGTCCTAGTTTGTGTTTCATAGTAATAACCAAGAGTTTGCAACAGAAGCCCATTTTTTATGGAAGGAGTTGTAAAAATGCCAACTCTTTAACTCCCTCCAATTTAAATTTTGAATATAATTTATCAATTGTGTAGTAAATTTCTATTAAGTAAAACGTTAAAAAGTTCTCTTTATATTTATAAGTGCAGAAGTAAACCTAATTTCTTTTTAATGGTGTTAATATTTAAAATAAAATTTCTTGTTTTAACTTATAAAATAGGCAATTTAAATTTAGTAATAATTTGGGAGCTACAGAAAAGAAAAACTTGAAACCTGGATATAGAGCAAAAAGTTTAGAAAAGTTCAGATAGAGAGCAGGTGTTTAAGCCATTCAAAATATGGCAATTGCATAATACTTTTTTCTTCCAGCTCACCATTTGGTAATAGAGTTAAGAGAAAGGTGTAATAATAATTTTTACATTTTTGTGCATATTTGAAGAATAAAGACAAAATAATGTTTTTAGTTGGAAACTTTGCCTAGATCCCACACTCACCCATTTACCCAAACACAACCTATTTATTCCTTTAAAATAACTTATGTATTAAAAATAAAAACCCACCAAAAAAATTGTGTTAAAATGAAAACAAATGAAACCAAAAAATTTTAAATAAACTTTTTTACCACACTGAGGTATATCAACATCAATTGGATCAAGAAAATCAAGAGCTTTGTCGAGATCAGCCTTTGACAATAAATGTGATAAAATAAAAATTTAACAATTATTCAAAGATCAATTTTATATATTCAAAACAAAAAAATATTTTGAAACCATTTTGAAATGGCCATTTAAAAAAATACCTTTTCCAGAAGTGATTTATTTTGAAGAAGAACTGGATTGCGAAAATGAAAGTAAGAGGACAATTTCATTGCTTCAACCTGTGTTAAACCTGAAACAGAAGTTTTAAAATTGTTGCATAACTCTTAATTATTTTGAAGTGATTAGCAAATGAAGTTATTGTTTAAAAAAAATAATCATGCAACAGA